GGCATACATCTAGTGAGTCACTAGAGTTTAGTACATGCACTGTTTGTAAAGGTGTAGGCAGGCTTTGGGCAAAGCACGGGAATAATGCAGCAACCAGGGCAGGCAATGGTTGCTGGCAAGGCATGGTGACTTTGTGTGAGCCATAGATCTGGCTGGGGAGCCTGGCAGAGAGAAAGCGGGAACATAGATACCCATCCTTACTCTCCTCCTTCCCTCTGATCTCCAATTAGAGCACCTCCTGGATGGAACCAACCTGAGTTAGAGGACTAAAGAGATGCAGTTTATTGGGATATCAGGGCAGAGAGCAGGTGGGAGGGGTGGAGTAGATGAGGAAGGCAAATGGTGGGTACCCAGCACGTTGCTTAGCACAATGGTCTGCACTTTACTGGTTTCTACTTTCCTCTCTGTACATGTGGCCTCCTGTTTTTTTTTGGGGGGCGGATTAGGGTGGGGTGGGGGGGCTGGCTTGGAGTGTTTGTCCTATTGTATTCCTGTTGTAGAATTCTATTATATGTCATGCTATGAATTCAATTTTCTGTTGGGCCCCAATCCTCCAGTTCATATGTTGAAGTCCTAATGCCCAATGTAACTATTTGGAATAAGAAAGTCACAAAGTGGAGTTTAGGATTAGGTTTATAACAGGAGGCATCCTGTAAGAAGACACACTAAAGAATTTTCTCTGTATCTGCCATATGAGGACACAGCCAGAAGGTGGCAGTCTGCAAGCTAGGAAAAGAGCCCTCACCAGGACTCTAATCAGCAGTCACCTTGATCTTGGATCTCCCAGTCTCCAGGACTGTGAGAAATAAATCTTTTGTTTAAACCCCCCAGTTCATGTGACATTTTGTCTGGCAGCCTGAACTGACTTAGAAATCACATATAACATATATAATACTACATATATAATAATATATGCTGCCCTATATTTAATTAGTTCTTCATTAATGGGCTACTAAGATCATTTCAAATCTTGTGCTATTACAAACAATGCTGTAAGGATATCCTTTTACAAAGTTATTTGCCATTGCAAGGATATGTACAGAATAAATTCCCAGGGAAGAGATTGCTGGATCAAAGAGTGTATGCATTTAAAAATTTGATAGACATGGACATAGCACCCAACATAGAGTGTGCACCAATTTACATGCACATCAGCAATGTATGAGATTCCTGTGCAGTTTTAAAACAACTGGGTGACAAAGATGTGGATAACTTATTAGAGCATTTTTCTAGCAGTGTCTGTCACCTTCACAAAATATAAACTTCTCTCTTTTTAAACTAGGAAAGTATACATTTTCCCCTTGTTTTCTGTCATCTCTTTCAGATTTATTCAGCAGGAATAAAATTCCTTCACAGGGGAATGGAATTTTCTTCTGCTCATTCTTTGGGAACAGTTTTGTGTCACTTTAAGTCACAAATAACAGCCCCAATTCAGAAGTTAAGTTCTCAATTTATCTTTCTGGACACACACAAAAAAACCCCACTATATGCGTATAAAAAGACACCTTGGAGAGAGGGAGGGGACTCCAAGGAATCACCACCCATCCTACAGTGTTGCTGTGGCATGCATAAAACTGTCCCTGTTCTTTAGAGATGCAGTCTAAAGTATCCAGAAGTGTGAAATGTCACATGACTTCAATGTCTTCAACCCATCCCAAACATTCCAGAAAAAAAAAACACATGAAACAAATATGCAAAACATTAATACTCATTACATATAAATGATGGGCACCTTCCTATGTGCTCAAAACTCCTCATAATAAAAAAACTTAAAGAATTGTCCAACCAAGATAATGACACTTCACACTTGGTTCATAGGAAGGTTCTGCCCCTCTATCTCCTTTTGCTCTGCCTTCCCTCTTTGTCTCCTTTTGCTCTGCCCTCCCTCTCTCTCTCCTTCCTCCCCTCCCTTTCTCCCCATCCAAACCCCAGGTAAGAGAGTCTGTGACCTAGGGAGGAGATTGCAAGGGTTTCTGCTCTTTCTCCCTTTACTTCCTTTCTAACCAGAGTTAAAGAGAGGTGGTCAGGGGACAGGATGTTCTTATTTGGCTTGTTCTCTGAGACTGGCAGATATTTAAAACAGACTCTCTTGTGATTCCTTTTTGGGTCCATCAGAGCTCAACATGATCTGTGACAAGGGCAATGAATTGACTCTGCTTCTCCAGCTGCCATTCATCCCCTAATCTCTCTCCTCCCTGGTCTGGTGATCCAGAGTATATCAATAGCTGGAGCCCCTTTGCTCTTCATGTGTTCTTCTTGGGAAGAATATTGAGTAGCTCCAGCTTGGCTTCCTCTCTATGGAAAACCTTGAACCCTCCAACAAACCCTAGAAATGCTGGTTGTGTGTCCTGTGGCCACAGGCAGCTACACCTTCCTCAGACTCTAATAAGATGGGAGCTAGGATCCTCTGCCCCAACTTCAGGAAGCACACACTAAGCTCTCCTAGAGTGTCCAGGAAGCTCTGATACAATGGGTTTATATTCTAAAATAGCTTCCTATCCTCTTCCCAGAGATTTGTAAGTAAGAAAGTATCAGTGTTCTCCAGAGAAATCTGATAAATCTTCCCACTAGATCTCTTGGATAATACATTATCCCATGATATTGAAATTATCTTAGTATTATTAAACATCTACTTTCATTACATGCATTTAGAGTTTTATCTACATTTACATAGTAGAAATTAGTACATTAAATTCCATTTGTTTACAATTGTGCTAGGAAAATTTTTTTTATTGTTACCTATTACTACAATGCCCTACAACAATTATCATTTCATACAATTTCTGAGGGTCAGGAATCCAGGAATGGTTTAGCTGGGTGGCTCTGGATCAGAGTCACCATGAGGCCACTGGTAAGAACATAGGACTGGGCTCAGTGGTGCACGCCTGTAATCCCAGTGGCTTGGAAGGCTGAGGCAGGAGTTCGAGAGTTTAAAGCCAGCCTCAGCAAAAGTGAGGTGCTAAGCAACTCAGTGAGACCCTATCCCCAAATAAAATACAAAATAGGGCTGGGGATGTGGCTCAGTGGTTGAGTGCCCCTGAGTTCAATCCCCAGTATCAAAACAAAAACAAAAACAAAACAAAACAAAAACCTTGTTTTTTTTTTTTAAGATTTGGGTCAGATAAAAAAGTATTTTTTAAAAAATATGTCATATAGGTCTACAGTCATGTAGTAATATTCCATTGTGTATATATATGTGAAGACTGAACTGGAGGGTTCCCTTTTGAGAAGATCCACTCACATAGCTCAGTTTCCCTTAGTTACTCACCAAGTAGGCTTTTCCATAGGGCTTCTAAAGACAGGGCTGCTGATTCTCCCTTGGATGCATAGTCCAAGGGAGCAAGGAAAAGCCATGATGTCTTTTTTGGCTTAGCCTAAGAAGTGACATGACATCTTACCCCCCATATGCTATCATCATACAAATCAATCATGATACAATGCGGAAAGAACAAGGATGTGACTACCAAGAGGAAGCAACCTTAGGACCATCTTGGTGCTGGCTACCATACCTATTGATGTCAGCCTGCATGTTCTCTTAGCAGTCAATGTAAACACTTAATTCTTTTCTTTTTTAAAAATTTATTTTGTATTCTGGTTTGTTATATATGACAGCAGAATGCATTATAATTCACATTACACATATAGAGCACAATTTTTCATATCTCTGGTTGCATATAAAGTATATTCACACCACTCGTGTCTTTATGCATGTACTTAGGGTAATGATGTCCACCTCATTCCACCCTCATTTCTAACCCATTGTCCCCTCCCTTCTCCTCCCAACCCTTTGCCCTATCTAGAGTTCATCTAATCCTCCCATGCCTCCCCTCCCAACCCTACTACGAATCAGCCTCCTTGTATCAGAGAAAACATTCGGCATTTGGTTTTTGGGGATTGGATAACTTCACTTAACATTATATTCTCCAACTCATCCATTTATCTGAAAATGCCATGATTTTATTCTCTTTTATTGCTGAGTAATATTCCATTGTGTATATGCACTACATTTTCTTTATCCATGCATCTAATGAAGGGCATTTAGGTTGGTCCCATAGTTTAGTTATTGTGAATTGTGCTGCTATAAACATTGATGTGGCTGTGTCCCTGTAGTATGCTGTTTCTAAGTCCTTGGGGTATAAACCAAGGAGTGGGATAGCTGGGTCAAGTGGTGGTTTAATTCCCAGTTTTCTAAGAAATCTCCATACTGCATTCCATATTGGTTACACCATTTTACAGTCCCACCAGCAATGTATGAATGTGCCTTTTCCCACACATCCTCGCCAACACTTATTGTTGTTTTTATTCTTAATAGCTGCCATTCTGACTGGAGTGAGATGAAATTTTGGAGTAGTTTTGATTTGCATTTCTTTAACTGCTAGAGATGTTGAACATTTTTTCATGTATTTGTTGATTGATTGTGTATCATCTTCTGAGAAGTGTCTGTTCAGTTCCTTGGCCCACTTATTGATTTGGTTATTTGTTTTTAAAACTACTTCATTCTGTCCATGGTTTTAAGTGTGACACTTGGTCATAGGTACACATGTGCAGACATCTGTATCTCCCAGAGGTCATAGTGGTAAGAATACTGTTGCTCTTTGCCATGAGTCTAGGCCAGAGAGCAAAACCTACAGACTCTGTCCCCTAGTGCCCAGTGCTCTTTGGTCCCCTTAATATATAAGCCCTCATAAAAGAAAAAACTGAATCCAGGAGGGACACAGTTCAAGCAAAGGTGCTCCTAACTGTGCTCTGCCTCCCCCCACCCCCACCGCCCCCCATCCCACAGCACATACATCAGAAGCCCTATCTGTAGGGATCAGTGTGAAGAAATGGTGACAAAGTTGGTTTGGAGTGTGTTCTGATTGGAGGTGAGGTTATCCATCTTTCTGTCATATGAGAAGTAAATCTGAACACAGGGAGGCATCCATGAGGAGAAGAGAAGACACCAAAAGCCTTTCCCTTTACAGAGGACCTTCATGAAGTCCATGAAGTAGTGGTCCTGCATGGCCATGGACCTCATCCTCCAGGAGAAGGAAAGGGTAAAGGAAAGGAAAAAAATTTTTGAGTCTGTGGAGAAACCATCTACTTGGAATTTATACTTCCTGAAGACAAATAAATTGTTTGGGTTTGCACACCAGTTTCTTGTGATTTGGATTTCTGTGAGTTCACTTCTGGACTATTAAGGCTGAGGTGACCCCTGAGGTATTGCCCCTCCGGGCAATACTGTGCTGTCGAAGGTCTTTATCTTAGTAAATAGTAACAGCTGCTGTTTACTGCAGGATTACCACGACCTGGCACTGTCATCTATTTAGCCTTTTCCCAAACTCAGAGAGGTGATATCATCATCTATTTTATGGGTGAAGAAAATGCCCAGAGGGAATGAACAACTTGTCAAGGTTGTTCTTAAAACTAGGGAGGAGATTCAAGCCCAGAAGAGCCAAAGCCTACATCCTAAATGCTCTTTTAAACTATCTACCATGCTGCGAGAGATGGATTTTTGCCAGTGATTGTCATTTTCTTCATAGGCTGTTAACAATGATCTCCACCAGTAATACCTTTGAAGTCTTTCTGGTCAGGAAAAAAGTGCTTCAGACCTGAACCCTGCCTGCTTGACATTCTCAGAAGCAGCTCACTCCTGCTCATCTGTTGTTGCAGGTGTTGGCAATGATGGAAAGCCAGCAGGCAGCCAGTACCACGGCGGTCATGGTAAAGCCATAGAATGAATAGAGTTTCTGTTTTCAATATTTCTGGATCACTTCATTGAAGGTGTGTCTCTTCTAAGCAGCATTTAGCTGGATTAAAACAATCTGATCTGAGACATGTCATTTTTATCTTTTTAAATGTGTCAGTTTTAAATAAATGGATTTAATTTATTTGCATATTTGCAATTTCTGATGTATTTGAACCTATGACCTCTTTACCATTTTTTTTCTCTGCTTTTCTTTTTCTTTTCCCCTTTCTTGTCTTCTTTTGTATAATGGATATTTCTTGGTCTTTCTGTTGGTATAGAAGTAATACATTCTATTTCTACCTTTTTTTGTGGTTAGGTAATTTTTCTTTTCTTTCTTTTTAAACACATGAACTTAACTCTACTTTTCTACCAGGACCAGAAGTTAATTAAAATGATAATTCTCTTTCTCTTAAGACATAAAATATCTTAATTTCCCACTGCACAATTTCCTCTTAACTTCCATGGCATACTGGTCTAGTATTTTAGTTTTTTCACACTTTTAGCCTCTCAATAGTTATGATTTACCACCCACTGAGTAACAGACTTGCCAACATATTTTATGGCCCTCTCAGTCCACTACTGCTTCTTGGATTGTGTTCCTCCATTATGGTCCATGTTCTTTCTTGCTGAAGTAATACTTTCGAAGTTCTTTTAAGTCATTTTTGCACTCTGATTTCTCCAACAGAAATGCAGATTTGTCTTTAATCATATTGTTTGAGATTTGGTACTTTCCTTCAATTCTGGAAACTCTCAGCCATTATTTCTCAACAGGGCAATGTCTGGGAGCTGGGGTTGATGTTACATAGGATGGTCAAGAATTGATCTCTGAGGAGGTAACATGGGAGCTGAGACCTAAATAATTGTAAGAGGAGTGGTCCTGGTAGAAGACAGAACCAATGCTAGGGCTTGGCACGATTCAGGGATTGAAAGAAGACCCATGAGCCTGGGCATGGTGAGAAGTGGGGCAAGAGACAAGGTTAGATCAGAGAAGGAGGTGGGGCTAGCTGTGTTAGGCTTCCTAGGCCCTTCATGGGAATTTGAGTTGAGAGAAGAAACTCAGTATGAGCTCTTGTGGCAGACACCTTGCTGTTCACCCAAATCTGTTTCTTCCTTTTAGCACTGTTATTTCCCTTGAAGTTAGATGTGTTCATATACCTGAGTTATAGAAATGGAATGAGAACAGATGTGAGATACATACTATTTTCTGGTCTTGATCTATAAAAAACTCCACGGGTGCTTCTCCATGCTCTTTTCCCCTTTCTAGTGGACTGTGATAAAAACAACATCAATCTTGAAAGCCACTTGTTGCAGGTTGCAGGGTTGCCATCAGTGTGGGCACCTGAGTGACTGTATGGAGCAGAATTCTCATCTCCACCTTGAATTCAACCCTCCTGACCTGGATATCCCTGGGATGTGAATATGAAAGAAGTCAATATTAAACCATCATTTTTTTTTTTGTTTGCTATTGTAGCATAGCCTTACTAATGCAGATAAGAGGAACTTCTCAAAGAACCCTGAAGTCCTGTGAGTCACACAAGGAAAGAATAGAAGGTTCAGAGTAATATTAAATTGCACAGATCAATAATATCAGAGATGCAATGGATTCCTGAGGGACTACTACTCCAGAAGCCCACTTTTTAGCAGATGAGGCAATTGTGGCCCAAAGAAAGCTGCTCTTCCTAAAGATATCCAATGGCAGAAACTGCATTATATACCAGAATCCTTAGGGTTCTTTCCTTGGAACTGTAAGAAAGGAGGTTGGGAAGGGACAGGCTTGGAAGAGAGGGGTTCAATGGTTATTTAGGGCTCTGCTCTTCACTGATGCCTTTAGGATGTGTCAGCAAGAACTTCAGGTAGCTGCCTCTTTACATTGTTAGACAAACATTCTCTCCTTTTTTTGTGGCTGAGAATACTCAACTCCTGACAGTGATACTTTGGGCTCTGTCTAAGTTTGGGTCTCAGCTGAAAATGTGAAACAACAAAAATTTGTTAATTATAAATAGTGCTTTTATCAAACTCTCCTAAAAGGCATGGATGGAGTTTAGAAAACCAGATGGGGTGGTGCAGTGCTTTGGGACCTGCTATAATGAGAACCATTGTCACCCTTAAATCTGAAAAGGGTGTTAGTTTCCTATTGGTACTGTAACAAATTACCACAAACTTAGTGACTCAAAGCAACATGCATTTATTATCTTCTAATTAAGGGGATCAGAAATCTGAAACAGGGGTGGGAGATAAAGTTCAGTGATAGAGAGCTTGTGTAGCATGTGCAAGGCCTTGGGTTCAATACCCACTACTGAAGAAAACAAACAAAATAGTCTGAAATGTGTCAGACACTAATCAAGACGTCAGTTGGATTGTGTTCCATCCTGAAGGCTCTAGAGTAGGATCATTTCTTTGCCTTTTCCAGCTTCTAGAGGCTTCCTGCATTCCTTGGTGCATGGCCCTTCCACCTTCAAAGCTCACAATGGCTAGTTGAATGGTTCTAATGATGGCATTTCTTTGACTCTGACTTCTGCTTTCTGACCCTTGTGATTACATTGGACCCAAATGAATAATCCAGGATCATTTCCTTATTTCAAAGTTGATGATTAGTAACATTAGTTCCATCTGCAATTCTTGCTAGATAACCCAGCATATTCACAGATTTTAGGAATTAGGATGTGGCCATCCTTGGGAGCCAATTATTCTGCCTGCCATAAGGGACAAAGTCAGGGACCAATTACTGGAACCCAGAGAAGGTAACTATTGGAAAGGGTCATTTGACAGAGTGACCTTTGGTAGAGATCTGGGTCTCCAAATTCAGCATGCAAATTAGTCACAGTCCCACTTGGCCTCAGGGGATCAGGAAGCTAAGGAAGGACTTGCTATACTAGTTGAGAAATCAATTCTGATTAACATCAGGAGCTAGGATTACTTCTGTATAGGTGTCAATAAAGAGAATTTCCATAACTCAGGGCATTTATTTGGGCATATCTTGGTGTTTCTATGCCCTATAACAACCAGCAATGGAAATTACAGTAATCCACCATGGGCAGGGGAAAATAGGGACTGAATGTCAGGTTTACTCAGCCAGGCTATCAACCTGGACCAGCCAGAAGGCTCGCAGGACACAGGGAAATTTAGAATAAGTCATGAAGGAGAGAGATGATTACTATCAATTTTGATCTGGGACCAGCTACAACAGCAAGGACTTGTTTCACTGAATTCTCTCAGGGGATTGCTACCGACACCACCTTAAGGGACCTTATGACTAATTGCACTATACCTCCCTCTTAGGGAAGGAAATAGGGTGTGTTAATGCTCACAAACAGCCCCCAACTGCAGAATCCCCACTTATAATATAGTACGGGTGTCAATATAGTAGGAGAGAATGAATGGATTTGAGTGGCACAAGAGGTGGCTTATGTATGGTTCAAATCTATGTTCCTCCTCTGATTTCCTCAGCATTGATAGCCTCCTGGACTCTACTGGCTCTAGTAGGGACTGACCATCACTTTCTCTGAGAACAGGCCATGCAGCTGAGCTGACATTCATGAACACAGAGTTTCTGGCTCCTCTCACCACTTCTAGACTTGAAAGAAAACTTCGATGACTCTCCCTGCAGAGGCGCTGCTGCCTAACAACACCTGGAGGTGAGAAGACAATTCCTGGAGGCCGAAACTTGACTTGTGGGACCCAGGAGACGGGAGAGATTCTGACAAACAAATTCCCCTTTCCTCCCTCCACGGCCTACACCTGAGCATCCTTTTTCTTTGCTGCCTGCTTGAGAACCATGTGTCAGATGCTTGCTGAGACTCTCTGTGGTGGTCCTGGAGGCTTGTCATCAAGCGTCAGCCAGAATGGCAGCGTGTCATTTCATATTTCCTTTTGTCTTTCTTGGCTTTGTTTCTTCTTTACTCATCCTTGCTGCCCTCTCTTTGCAATTCCCAAGGGTAATGGTTAATTTCATGTGTCAATTTGGCTGGGCCATGGTGCCCAAATATGTGTTCAAAACTTGTTGTAGATATTTTTGTGAGGGAGTTTATAGGTGAGATTAACATTTAAATCAGTTGACTTTGAGTAAAGCAGATTGCCCTGCTAATGTGGGTGGATCCACATTGAATCCAATCAACTGAAGGCCTCAATGGAACCAAAGCTGACCTCCCCCTGATGAGAGGAATTCTGTAGTGACAGCCTTGGATCTGAACAGCAACATTGACACTAGGCTTGTGTCCAGCCTGCCAGCCTATTCAGCTTGGACTTGCCAGCTTCCATGATTGCATGAACCAGCTTCTTAAAATAAATCTCTTTCTATGTAAATGCACATTTTATTGGCTCATTTCTTTGGAGAAATCTGATTAATACAACATGGAGGCCTTCAGCTCTTTTGTTTTTACCACATTCTCTGTTTTGTAGAGAATCGGGCCAAGACAAGGACCCTGCCTTTCATGGAGGCCTCATCTCCAACCCCATGTGGATGTTAATATCCCAGTTCCTAGACCCTGAGGTCCATCACCATCTACTTACTTCCCTAGTTTCGTCTCTCCCTCCCTATTCTTCAATCCTCTTTCTGGGACTTGAGAATTTCCTATTATTTATTAGGTCTTATTATTTTCTAATATAATTTCCTGGAATTAATTTCCTTTATTGCCATCCTCAATTATACATTTAAAATATTATTATGCATTATCTGTATGTATTTATAGTAGGAGGGTAACTTTGGAATTCCTCATGCAATTATATGTTGCCCTTTAATAGCGTTGTTCAATAATAATAAATGTTGTGTGCACGTGCGTGTGTGTGTGTGTGTGTGATAACTTCCATCATATAAGGCTTCTATTTTCCTGTCCATTTCTACTAGTGTTGGGATATTTTCATTTTACTATAATAAATCACTTTATGGTGAATATATTAATGCACAAATTTCTTTAGGTATTTAGGTTTTTATGCCCTTAGTGAAGATTCCAAAAAGTAGAATCACTGTATCAAAGAA